TTGGATGATGCAGTGCCAAGCTTTGGCTGGTCGACGTGAAATAAAGAGTGAAGATTAGTCATGCACTCACATAACCTCTGTGCCCAAGGATGTTGAGCCATGGCTACGTATTGGATTCAACAAAACTTAATATTGAATAGGAAAAGTGTAGGTATACATGATTATATATATGATTACATATCCTATGTATTTGCTGTAGGCAATATTGGTTGAAATTTTTTGCTGTCTTAGTTTTTACGCTTTATTATAAATTTTTAAGCCTCGTCACAATTTGAAGAATATCGCTAAAACAAGCTATCATGAATAGAATTATAGTGAGAAATAAGGCTTATCCGTAAAAAATTATAAAAGCTTGAACAAGAAAATTCTCAAGTGTAAAATATATCAGTTGGCAACTACACCTCCTAAAATGAGGAAAAGATTTACGTATATTATGAAACAATCCTTAATCTCTGTTCCAAATAAATTCTTCGAATGGTTGAATTATGATTCGGTTAAATTTTGCATTGTTATCATAAGATACTAATTTTTCAATCGAGTTCTCTATTCCCGGCAGTCACAATATAGACGACATAATAGATTTAGTGCCTACATTAAGCGTAGAACAATATATGTGATTTAGGAAATGAACTTCACAATTGACCTTCGTAATCTTATATTTATTTTTTAATTTATATCCATGCGCATATATTTGCTTAATTTGAGTCAGAACTATATATGCTGTCTCATCTCATATCTTAGGATGGCGTGGGGACAGGATCGAGTGAGCGATTGCTACTAGTAGGAGCAACTAATAGGTAAGTTAACCGCATTTTCCTTCATTCTGTAAAATATTTTCATTTTGAATTTCGAGATATTAAATGCGATCGTTTTCGAAAAATGTATACCTTCCAATAGTTTAATTCTGAAGAGCATTATGATCGGGAACTTAACAGACTTTACCGTAACTATGATGTCAAAGATTGTTTGAAATTTCGCTTGTGTGTTTGGTTGGATATATGCGATTTTCAATTATCGGCCATGTTATTTTGTACAAAAGTGCATGAAAAAGAGATTCGAAAGTCGATCTCACCAGAAGAGGACGGCTGATTCCCATTGTACTGCAGCCGTTTAGATTTAATACCACGTTCAGATTTACGTAGTTTACTAAGCATCCCTTGGTTTGGGTGAAAACGCACTGAGTTTTCGTCCATCACATGATGGACATCATCAGAACTATAATCCATTCTTGTAAAAGTTTCACGCTAAGACTAGGTCCTACCTCTTATATAGACTGAAGTAGACAAAAGAAAATAGAAAGCCTAGGTTGATATATAATGGTTTGGCTAATAATCTTTTTTATTGGCCATTCTGCTTTTGCTCGAGAGTGTGTTTCAAGGTAGATACACAATACTGATCATAAATCAGTTATCAGAAAATCCCTAATGTTAGGTTCTAATCACCAAGACTCAAAGAACCAATATAAAGCCCTTACCGATGCTGCGCAAGTGCATGAGCAGCTATTGTTGAGATAATGAAATGTAAGCTTGCAAGTGCGTCAGGACACAAAACCATATGTCCTAGCATCTCAGTTTGGGGTCATTGGGGCTTAGCCAATCAAAGAAAGGCTTGACTCGGGCTGCTAATTTTATGTCTGGTTTGGTTGGTGAGCTAAATCTAACATGTTCGACGAGTGAGTGAAGTTAGACTCTTCACCAGACGGGCAAGTTGAGTCACCTTTTGGATAACGAATTCCCCTCTGTATCCATTAATCAGGCATAAGTAGTTATTACTTAACTTTATACTACCGCCCGCATACCTCATTAACATAAGGGCGAACACAGCACAATCTTGGCCGGATCTCGATAATGGGTCATATTTCTCTCTATAAGATGGCATAACAGAAGAAAGTGTGAGGGTTGCTTTGAGCACTTTTTATCCCCTATTTTCTCACTAGGCCGCCTATCTTTTCAGGAAGGCGACGGCAAAATTAGGGTGAGAAAAGGTCCCCGTTAACAAAATGACAATTACCTCTATTTTGCGTCCTTTCATGAATGTGTAATTCCATAACTTTATCATCTTCGTATTTCCTCCCATCTTATAACTTGTCTCCCTTCTGACACCTCTCATTCTGCAAATGTTACTTCATGTTCCGCCAGGCCCCAGGAGCTAGATGAGGCTGCCCGAAGACGCTTCGTCAAACGCCTGTATATCCCGTTGCCCTGCCGACTAGCCAGACGCCAGATTGTTGTACGCCTGCTGAGCCAACAGTCAAGGTGTTTAACGGAGCAAGAACTGGATCTGATAGCCGAAAGATCAGAAGGTGAGAGCACTTGGTCAGCACTCACGAACACATATGCCAATGCTTTTACTGAAGCCAGTCCCGCTTCTGTAAGAGCTTAGTCGTCCGCCTGATGCCATTGGCACCAAAACTTTTATCTTTTGATTGAAGAATACCAGGCCTATAATGATTTGATGCCTCGAGCAGTGATATCTTAAGGTCATTCCAAGAGGCTATGCATAAATATCCATTATTACCCACGATCCTACTATCGATCATAGACGTGCCACTCACACCTAACTTATTTTTCAGGATATTCTGGTGCCGATGTGGCAAACCTTTGCAGGGAAGCAGCCATGGGCCCCATAAGGTCACTGGATATTGAGGCAATCCAATCAATCGCCTGTGATCAGGTCAGAACGGTTTCGCTGTACCTCTAAATTATCTTCTTTTTTCCCCATTATTACTTGATTGGTTTCAATCGAAGCTGCAGCTCAGCCTGGGTAAGAATACCATTTGGGAAGCAAGTTCACGTGAAACTCAATGAGGACTTGAGATCTAGTCATCTAATTGCAGGAAAATTCGACTTTGATCACTCCAAACGTAACAGGATGAATGCATATATTATAATCGATCCCAACCCTATACCCCTCAGGAATCACCATTTCGCAACTTTCTGCGGCTTCCTAGGTACCTGAATCTTGTTTACCTCAACTAACTTTTAACATGAATTGTCCCTGGAACGTTATACTGCATCGGGCTCTTAAGATCATTCTTGGTTC